GATTCAATAACTATAAAATATAATAAAAATTGAAATTAAAATAATTTTAATTTTTTGTATAACCTTATATTAAAAATTTTATTTAAATGTTATAATTTAATTAATAAGGTTTATATATTGTTCATTAAATTTTATATTTTTTCTTTTTTTTTCTTTTATCAAATACATAATTAAAATTGATAATAATTTCTAATTTCCAATAAGACCTCAGTTTTACCTATGTATTATTATTTAGTAAAAAATAAACACAAAAATTAAAATTTACTACAACGCGCCTCATTTTAAACTCCATTATTTATCATACTCCATAATGCACATAAAAAATTAAAAAAAAAATCTTGATTTGATTTTATAATTGTATTTATTTAATTTAAATTTGTTGCTATTTATCATATCATAATAAAAAAATTATCATATGATATTTGCTATTCAATTTCTTTCGTTGGAGTGGTAAATGTCCGTCGCCAACGATTCGATATATATCTGAAATATATTTGCATACCATATAACATTGCCTCTATCGCACCCGCACTCCGCACACAATTTTACTGAATTCCAACCCTTATTTTAGAAGGAATGGAGATACTGAAGCAATGACCATGTGAGAAGACTGTTATCATAAATCACGCACGTCTTAAATAAATCTAATTTCTTAATTTAAAGATTTCACTGTTGATTTTGTAATTTATGATTAATTCGGAATTTAACGAAGTTAATAACTTTCATAATGTCAATTTTGCATGCTGGCGGCGAAATAGAACTAGAAAATTTGATACGTTTTGAAACTTGTGTAATTGGTTAAACAAAAATCTGGAAAAAAAATGAAAAGTAATTTTTTTTATTTTGAAATGTTATCTATTATATAATTTAAATTATATTACATCGATGCAAAACACCCTATAACTATTAAACCAAACTTACTTTGCTCGTTTACTCTGTTAAAAATGGCACTTGCTTTTGTCAAAATAAAAGATATCAGAAACGGTGGCAGATTTCAAAACGCCGGCAGGCATTTATAATTTTTACTTAAGTTTCAGAAATTTGTTTATTGGGTTCAAAAACTGAGGGCAACTTTAAGATATTGAAAATTAAATATTGTTCACTTAGAGTTTTTTACAGGTTATGCATGGATTTTTTCCCACCAATTTTGAAATTTTCCAACAAGCAAAATTGGAAATGATTACAACTATGATTCATTAAGTAAAATGCAGAGAGACCTTCTCTCTGGTTAAATGCTTAAAAATTTTTTTTATAAATAAAAAGTGTGACAATTTGTAGCAATTAACAATTTTAATCGATTTAAAATATTTAAAGCAGTTTTCTTTCATACTTTTGTTTCATAAATTTTTCAAACTTTCGTCTTCAATTTTTGATGGGAGAGCAGAGATAGGAAGAAGCGTGTGTCGAGCATTCCGCCGCATCACATGAAAGTTTCAGTTTAATCAAGGGCTGGCCTCTTCTTTCGCTTCTCCCCCGCGCACTCTTTATTTCCGCGTGCACCCACTGGCATTGATTTCCCCCGCCTACGGACCGTCGCTTATGCAACCGGCGCGACTCGCACGCGCGGCCGCCTGCCTGCATCTTCGCCAGGCAGGCGCTGCTGCTCCTTCTCTCGCTTTCAGCCGGAAGATAATGTAGTTTTCATTATTTAATAAAGCGCGCAGTGCGAAGCATTAATCAGCCGGGCCGGAGAGCGAAAGGAGGCGCATGTGTTGAGATAAATTAACCGGTGCAAATAAATTGAATGCGAGGGCAAGATAAATCATGGCCTTCATTACACCAGCTTAGCGAGCCCGTCTGCGCGCGCCACCTTCCATCCATCATCGGTCCCCGGGGGCTCGAGCCGACCCAACTCACGAGCCAACGGCCCCCACAACAACATCAACTAACTTTGGAAAACTCTCACACTGATCCAAATTAATTTTCCCTTGTAATTACCATCTAAATTAATTCAAAACTATAACACAGCTACAAGTTTTTATGCCAACAAATTTGGAATAATTAAAGCTATTTAAATCAAGAGCTTGCCTTCAAACAATATAATAGTGAAATTTAATTTAACAGAAGAATTTCTCGATTGAGGCTGTTTTTTTCTAATGAAACAATAAACTAACTAAAAAAAAAACGCAGCTCGGAAGAGCCAAATTTCAGTAATTCTAAAAACATGAAATATTTATTTGACGAAATTGACACTTGCTCAAGGAGATGATGATAGAAGTAAAGAGGTAAAAAATTACTATTTCTTGAAAGCTTAATTTTTTTAAGGAAATTTGGAAGTTTCATCATCAGTGGGGTGATTGTCGTAATTAATCAAGCGGCGTAATTGGCTTTCTCGAAATTATCTCGGCTGCTGCTGGAAATTTAATTTCGGTCGGCGGAGGCCACTTTGCCCATTTTCCCGTAACGTATGAGCTTGATGCGCCAGCGGACGGGCCGGGTAATTATGCTCTCTTACATGCACAGTGTGTAATAAGTGCAACCCTTTCGCCGGCTGCTGGGGCTAACTAGCTCTCGCCACAGCTCAACAACACAGCGTTATGGCGTAATAAGTGCATAGATGAAAGATATTATTATCATGTTTATATACACGCGCGAGCAGCGCCTCCGCATCAAATATTCATATGTGCAGCATCCAAGGATATTGCTGTGCCCTTAATCATTAACTCAAATTTGCGAATAAAAACTAGAACTAATTTTAAGACAAGGTAAATTGAGGGTTGTTTTTACATGTAATATTCAGTAAATTTAGTGATATGAGTAACAAGTATCGACTGACAACTGATTTATCTATAAAACCACTAAAAATCTATAACCATTAAATAATATTGTTAATAATAACAATATAAAAGTTACTATAAAATTTGGTAATATTTATAATGTTGCATGATGTTTTAGCTATATTATTATTTAATACATCAGTCTAAAATATAATTTAATTTTTTTTTAAACTTAATTTAATATATTACATTTTAGTTTTTTTTTTAAATTATTATTTTAGTAACAATGTTTACAAATGTCAATAATTTTACAAAATATTTTAATTATAATACGTATAATTATATATTTTAAGTCAATAAATTATTTTGAGATCAAGGATCAAGTTTATAATGCATCCAAGTATAACTCTAACTCTGCAAAGCTTTCTGTGATCTCTGATATGTACGATTATAATTTGAAAAAAAAAGTTAGACAAACCCGCAAATATTACGCATTATTATAATATTAAAGCAGATAAATTTTATTTCAATTATTTTTGTTTTCAATTTATCATTTAACTAAATATTCTATATCTTTCAATGGAAGCAGAAATTGATCCAACGAGATTCTTATAAATAATTTTGCTTTGGCAAAGTATGTTTTGAATTTGACGCTAGCATTGGCAGGGGAATAAAAAAAATGAGACAACAAAAATAATCGACGTTTTCAACATTTCTCAATTAAAATCAAAGGAACAATAATGAATTGAAAATCTGTTTTTTTTTTCTTTTTTAATATTATTTACAAGTTTGAATATTTGTCGAATAGTTTTAGAAACGTGCATGCAAGAACAGGGAAGGTGTGGAAAAAGTGGCACTGAATAAAACAGACGTTGGCAACGCATAAAATAATAACTCTCGGGCGCAGGGGCAGGTACGTTTTTCCGCGACCATAAATTAGAACGCTCTCGGAATAGTTCGGTCTGCTGTGTGTGCCGTTGATGTTGGTGAAATATTAATAGGGCGAATAAAGGAGTCTTTGCAAGCTTTTCCGGCGGCGGCGGCGGCGCGCAGCAGATTGGTGGGGAGATTGTTTTAACACCTAGGGGTTGGAGGGCTATAAAGCCCGGCAGCATGGCGGCCTCTATTCCCCGAAGATAAATTTGCGAGCGTGTGTATATTTTTCAGTGCACGGTGCTGAGGCGCCGGAGAGCGAGATTAAATTTGCGCCGAGGTCGGAATATTTTAGAGCGAGGCGGGCACTAAAGCGCCTCTGCGACTCATGATTCTCGCCATAAACCGAATCAGGCACTCTAATAACATTCAATTATTAAACAATAATCTGGCGCTGGCGCTTCCTCTGGGGAAAAGGCCTGCGCGCGAATTATTAACCTCTCGCAGCTCCTCCCCGACTCACACCAGATTGCTTCTGCGCCCGCCTCGAATATACATTTATATACATCCTATGTATCTACTTTTGTGTTGCAGCCGACGAGATTTTAATTTACGGCGCTCATAACCGCTCCACCATGCCAGAGAGAGAAGCGAGCAATCTTCTTTTATTGCCCTCGCACCGGCGCCATAATTATTTTATCATTGCCTGATTTTTAATTAGCCAGACACTTGCGAATCCATTACACACGTATTCACCAGCAAAAGAGAGAAATAAAGATGCCCCCCATGAAATTGGACTCAAAAGGTCCCCCAGCAGGCGCTCTAATTGATACACTCTCCTTTTTTTAAGAGAATGATTTTCAATATTTTTAATAATTTAAACTTAAGGTTTTTAACCCTTAATAATAAATAAATCATGTAATCAGAAATATATTAAACACTTTTGTGTACAACATATATGCAATATTTGTTCTACACGACAATTTAATAAATTTCTGATGACATGATTAAAAAATTATGGAATTTTGCAAGAATCGCATTTCAAAATAAACTATTTTGAAACATATTATCAATCCAAAAAGATAATAAGAAAATTTCTGCATCATTAAACAACGTCTTTTCCTTATCTCAAAGTCTAAACTCTTACTGAATTATTAATTACTTTTAATTCTATAATTTAAATTTAGGAAAAAATATTAAATTAAAATTATTTATTGATTTTTAAATAATAGTTTGATTTAAGTATTTTTCAAAGGTAAGAGAAATTACCTTGAGCAATCACCCATGCTGGAATAGAGTAATTCCACTTTCATTTCAATATGTGTGCGTAGGCGATTGACGCTTAATTGTTCTGATATTCTAATGAGCAGATATGAGTTTTAGAAGAGAAGTTGATAGCTTTACAGCTGGGCTGCTGGTGCGCGATAACCTCTTTACCATCCGAGGGCTGCACGTTATTTATTTAAAGAGCGTCTCTTTCACGCACTCAATATAGTCGATGACGATCGATGACACGATGAGGACTCGCCAGCTTATTATCACGGTTTTGCTTCTTAGCACGTCCTTTGCAGGTTCAGAGTGTAGAATTATCAATAATTTATTATAAATTTAATGTCGTCGCGACTTATGATTTGCAGCGGGCGCGTTACCAGAACAGTGCAACCGTCTTTGCAATTGTGCCAGCGGGTCGACCTTTTGCGCCAGGGTGAATTCGAGACTGGGTCCCCATCAGATGCAGTACCCTGGATGCCTCAACCAGTGCTTCGACACTTGCTGTCAGGGAGGAGCAAAAGGTAAAACAAGATAAATCAGATAAATCAAATATTTTTGTGCTGTGCAAACTACTAAAAATTAAATAAAAACATTTTTTAAGGGCAGAGAAATTGACACTTAAAAGAGTTTTTATTTTGGAAGTGAATAAGGGATTGGACTTTTTCTTCCTTGTTTCCTCCACGAGGAAAGAGCCCGATATCTTCACTTCCACGATAATCTCCTTTCTTCAAACAAAGTTTTCATTTTGTTTAAATTTTTAAAATTCAAAATTAATACACCAATTAATTTTTCTTGAAAAATATTAATTCTTGCCTTTTTTGGAATCTCATAAGAGGAAGGCGACTAATAATTTTGCTTAAGTGTTAAAAATAGATTATTTTGTCAATACTGTCTAGATCTTTTGCTTTCCGAAAATGAAAATAATTAATTTTGTTAATAGGATCACTGACTGAAGTCAAAGAAGGAGGGTGTTTAGACGAGATATTTGTGCAGGTCGTGACTGGAACACACGCAGATGGGCCAGTTGGGCTTGTTGAGCCTTGCCCTGAAATATACCTGGCTGCTATCACCAAGAATAGAACAAAAAATTAAAAATAGTGAAACCCCAGAGCATTTCTCGCTCTCTTTATAGTATCAAATTTGTTTAGATCATAATAAAAAGAATGTAAATACGATAAAAAAGTAACTCTTGAAATGTGTATGTAATGTCACTTCTTAAATTTTTTCAGTGTTATTTTTATTTATTTTAATTCATATAATATTTTAATTATATTTTTTTAATTCATATCTAATTAATAATTAGATATTAAACAATAATTTAGGAGGAAAAACCCATCTAATCCTTGATTAGACTGAAATAACAGAATTACAATAAGTACAAAAGAAATAAAAATTTCAAAAAACTTATTTATAAGTCTTTTGAAATTTAATTTATTGTAATTAAATTACAATAAATTCTCAAAGAACAAATTTTGTTCTTTGAGAATTACTAGGCATTGAAAAAAATTAATGTTTCCATATATTTCAAATATTAAAAATTAGTCAATAAATTTAATAATCAAGTAAACTTTTGATGATTATTATTTTCTTTGCTATTGAAGCTAAATTGACAAAGGAGCGTTCAATTGTAATTTTTACTGTGCAATGATCTCATCGGATTTCGCGCCATCGAGGTCGCGAGCCGCATTCAAACGAGCCAACCAGACGCTCGAAAGACATTTGGGAGGCGAAATTTGAACCGGCAGTGAAAGAGCAGCTGTTGATTCGGCGAAAGGGCACCTCTGCTGCAGGGAAAACAATAATTTTTTAATTCTCGTCGGCGCTCGTTCGGCCAGACGAGTCGGACGGACGGCGAATCGATCGGCGGCCGACGCGCCTCGTCTCGAGAGCATGTAACGTGAGCTGCAAAGACAGAGGCGCGGCGAAAAGCAGAAAAATAAACAGAGAAAGAAAGGGGAGAAACGCATCGGTGCCTATTTTGTTCGACGTCGTCACTCTCTTTGCCTACTCAAGCAAATCGCCCAAGTGCGCATCTCGGCAGCTGGAAATCGGCGGACGACGTCACGATGGGCATCATCATCTCCAGGTTTAAGGTTTGCATCCCATTTCGCACTGACACGACCTGAAAATTAAGACTTTTCTTGCAGAGGAACGTCACCGTCAAGGAGAGGCTCCAGTCCATCTCCAAGGTACGATGACCATTTATGGGCATTTAATTGAAATTTCAACCTTCAAACTGACCTTGATTTTTTCAGGACATATCGAACATAGAGGTCTTCAGGCTGCACACACAGCAAAAGCAGAAGGCTGTTGTGGCCCGGGTCGTCCTTTTCTCGGTCCTTGCGCTCATCTTTGCCGGCATCTTCCTCTACTTCTGGACCTTGCCCGAGCGGACACTGGACAAATTCTTGTGCCTAGCACCCTTTTTCATCGCACCCTTCTTGTGAGCAACTTATGGACTTAAATTTTAAATTCTAAATGAAATATAATTGTAATTTAATTTTGCCAGAATCGTATTTGTGAAGAGATTGATCAACTGGTACTACGCAAGGCAGATCAACGATAATGAAATTAAACTGACCAGACTGCGCGAGGAGAAGAAAAAACTGCTCGATGAGGTTATGGACAAGGAAACGTACAAAACTGCCAAGGAAATACTTGAACAATTTGCACCGGAACAGCTTCGGAAAGAGAATAATGTAATTTTAGATTAATTTTATTTCAAAGTCTCCAGATTGAAAGTTTTAAAATATCCAAGCCCTTTTGTTTGTATTAAAATTATAGTAAGGCAATTTAATAAATTCCATCTGAAAATTTTCAGCAAAATGCTCTTGTTCCTCGAGTGTCGCCCCAACAACAAATTGCAAGACCAGGAATGCCAATGCCAAACCTACAAAGTGCTCAACTTGTTAACCAGGAACTGAGGCGGAGGACGACTACCCCTCAGGTTGGCGGCCAGCCCCAGGGTCCCCAGGGAACCCCTCTGACGAGAAATGCACCCCTTCCTTATCCAGCTTTACCTCAAAGTTTGTGTTTTCTTTTTTCGCAATTTGTTTTCTACATCAACCAATTTCTTCAGGACCTGCTGGAGCAATGCCTGCTGGGCCGCCAATGGCAAGACCGATCTTGCCCAGGGATAGAGGAGTGATGGACAAGTTGGTCGAGTTCATCGTCGGAGACGGTCCGAGCAATCGATTTGCCCTGATTTGCAGACAGTGCGCCTCTCACAACGGCATGGCCCTGCAGGAAGAGTTTGAATACCTTGGTAACCTCTTTGTTAGAAAGTGGTAAACATGAATTTCTAAAATTTGATGTGTAGCTTTCCGTTGCTGCTACTGCTACTGTTGGAATCCAGCTCGCAAACAGCGTCCCCCGGCTCCTCTGCTGCCTCTGCCATCCGCCCCTGCTGATGAAAATGGCGGCGAGTCCAGTCCTTCAAGTGAATCTGAGGCTGAGGAAACGGCACAGGAGGAAAAGGTAGCAGAAGAAGAGCCTAAAGAAGGAAATGCACCAGGTAAGAATTTTTAATAAACAAGAATTTTGATTTTAAATAGAGTTTGGAGCAATGAAGTGAGAATTTTAAAAAACCTCTTATTAAAAAAAAAATTATTAAAGTTCTGTGATAGATTAATTTATTTTAATTCTTATTTTGTTGCTTTAAACTTTCCCACTATGGGTCCAATATTAGTAAAAATTTCTTAAAGATTCAATCATCATATATTTATTAATTTGATTTATGGCAAAATATTTTCCAATCAATTTAATTAACTCATATTTTTATTCATAAAAGAAGCTGTTGAAGAAGTTGAAGTGCAAGAAGTTGAAGAGACAAGCAAAGGTGAGACTGGTGAAGCCGCAGCAATCAAGGAAGAGCTCCCCAAAGAGGAGGCTGAAGTTTCGAAGGATCAAACAGAAGCGTCGTAGACCATAAATTTTGGGATTGAAGAACGAGTACCTGCAACCTTTGACCAATTTGATATTGCGTTGAGTAGTGTTGAGTTTCCACTTCTGACAGAGAACAAGCTCCTCAATCTCGGATGATTTAATCACACTTATTTAAACTTGTATGTGTTAACTTTCTTTTCTCAGCAACAAAAATCTCTGCTTCAAGAGAGGAGGTTCAATTGGGATGTTTTGAATTTTGCTTGTATCATTATTATTTGGATTTTTTTATTTAGCTTTAAATGTTTAGTTAACTTTGAAATTATTATATGGTTCCTCTCTTTCACGCCCAATCAAAGCTAAGTCACTTTTTTACGATCAAAATGTAGAGTTATTTAAGTATCGCTTATTCATGTAATTATGCCAAAATGAGTTTCTCTTTTAGGTGTTAACTTGCAATGTACTTAATAAGTTAGATATTGTTTCATAGGCTTGCCAAATATCATGCCAAGTGCCTTAAACTGGAAAACTGTGTTAAAACTAGAAGGAAGATATTGTATTTTGAAAAAACTTCTATCTTAACGTCACACAATTATTGCAGTCTTGTTTTTACATTCAAAGTCAATTGTTTGAGTAATAAAAATGTAATTTGACAAAAATGTTACTCAATTTCTACACATGACTTCACCCACAGCTGTAAATAAAACAAAAAGCATTAAATAACGAGTGCGTCTCAGATTTATTCAGAAAAATAAATGGCATTGCTTTTTATTTCACAGATTCCAAAAGTACGATTCGCATACTTCACAGGACGGCTAGACCTTAGGTTGATAAAACAATCTTTTGTCACCATGATAAAATTACGGTGTCAAAGTAAGAGGATATTTGGCCGTTGAGGTTATCTGACACTCCTCTTACAATCAAAGATCACCTTTATTTGATTATTATAACTCATGGCACAGAGAACGGTAACAAAAATAATTTTTTTTAACAATATTATCAAGGCAAGGCACGTTGTAGGCTTTGAGCTGCATGGAAGACACATATTTTAAAGCTTATCATTTCAAGCTATAAATGGAGATTTTTAGATTTTCTGTCCGTCCTGGATGAACTTGTAAACGCTGGAGAAATCCCTGTTTTCCAAACCAGCCTTACACATGAGACGGTAGATTTGAGAGGCGAGGGCACCCATTGGAATGGGAGAGCCAGTGCGAGTGGCCAGACCCTGGGCCAGTCCCAAGTCCTTGGCAATCAGACCACTGTAGAAGCCACCCTAAAATTTTTCAATAAATTTCAGATTTGAAAAAAATACAATTGTACGAAGAAAAATTATATATTTAAAAAAAGTCTAAACTCTTTTTTTGATGCCAATTCAAATTCAATTTTAGAATTAGAAAAAAATTATTAATTGCCTCTATAAAATTAAATCAATATTATTGAAAAAGAGTCACATACATTACAGATCTTTATTTCCTTGATTTTGATTTAATTCAAATTACCTCGTAGTCCCGAGCAGAGGGCACATTGGGCATCAGTCCGGGAACAGGGTTGTAGATTTCGGATGACCAGCAGCGGCCAGTGCTGTTGTTGACAATGTCCATCAGCAATTTGCCGTCCAAGCCGAGACGGATGCCGAGATTCATGGCCTCGGCCACGCCAGCCATGCTGATGCCCAGCAGCATGTTGTTGCAAATTTTGGCCGCCTGGCCCATGCCAATGTCACCGCAGTGCACAAGTTTCTTGCCCATTCCGCTGAGCACGCCCTTGGCTTTTTCGAACACCTCCTTGTCACCTCCGACCATGAAGGTCAGCTCTCCGGACTGGGCAGCGATCACACCTAGCAGGATAATATATTTAGAAAAAAAGAAACAAATTTGAAATTATTTTCTGCACCTCCGGACACAGGAGTGTCCAAGAATGAAGAGCCCTTGGCGTTTGCCTGTTTCACCAGGGCAATGGGAACGGACGGGTCAACAGTGCTTGAATCCAACAGAATCGATCCACTCTGCAGTCCCCTGTAAATTTTAATAAGCAATTAAATAATTATTTTAATCAGATTGAAGGTCAGATTTAAAATATTTGCATTGAGCAATAAAAAAATCATTAAATAAGTACTAATGCTAGTAATTTTTTTACAAATCAAAACTGTTTAAAATTTTCGTTTGTAAAAAAAAATAGTTTGGGTTTTGAATTTTTGCCAAAGTTTTAAATTTAATGATTTTAATGAGAAATGTAACAAAATATATTATGCTAGTAGCTAGTAGCATTTAATGCTCAAAATTATTTGTATTTATATACAAAAAATTTGATTTGATTTTTTTTTTTAATTTTTTAATACCAATATAGTGAAACCCTGGATATAAAATGCAATATTATTACTCAAAGACGCCATCCTTTCCAGTGTAGACGTTCGTGACAATATCATTATTGGGGAGCATGGTGACAATGGTGCCGGACTGGGAAGCAACGTCAGCGGGACTTTTGCCAACGGTGGCACCTGCCTTAGCCAATGCCTCGGTGGCTGCTTTCGAAACGTCGTAGACAACCAATTTGTGGCCCTGCGATTGAAATATTTTCATATAATTGAATTAGAATCGAATTAATTGTGAGGTTTTTACTTTGTTCATCAGATTCTTTGCCATGAATCCACCCATGTTTCCCAAGCCGATGAATCCGACGTTGGAGGAGGCATGACGACCTGGAATTCAAAATGAAAAATCAAATAATAATATTTTGCATCAAATAAAATTTTATTTTCAAGCAAGCTTAGGCACAAAAAAGGTGATAACTATAACATTTTCAACTCTTTTAAATAAAATAATTTGATACAAATTTATAATGAAAAAAAATCGATTTTAAATTGACTAAATTAAATATAAAAATTTCAGTAAATTGTAATTAAAAAATTTCAACGTTCATGAAATGTTGAAATTTAAAATAAATTGCAGAGCAAATAATGTCCTGATAAGAGTAAGACTGCCTTCAAGGCCATTCCGCCTACGTGCGGTTCTCTCTCGGAGAATTATGAACTCGGCCATAATTGATTCGCAATTTATTGGTTCGCAAAGAAGAAATTAATTCTGCGGCAGAATTCGCGGGCGTAACTCACGTGCAAAAACGACGGCGTTGCCGTTGGAGCAAACTTTGAGGTTCCTCGCCAAAGTGGAAAAGGCCATTTTCGCGGTGCGAACGAACGAAGGCGAAATTGTCGAAGAGAAGAAATTTATTTTCGTCCGACCGCTCTCGCCGTCTCTTCGAAAAGGGGCTTGTGCGACCTTGAATTCACAGATGTGCAGCGCTCGGCCCCCAGCACCTCCGCCAATCACACACGTGCCCGCCGGTGGTGTTGGTGACTTTGGTGGGAGGAGATATTGGGATTTGGGAAAGATAATATTATAATATGATCTCAGAATTCAGATATGTCGGATCAAATAAAAACAAAACCGGCTGAATCATCATTTTGGTGAAAAACCACCAGAAATTCAATTATAATTTGAGTCTGTTTGTGAAATTCAACTTGAATTTTAGTGGTACGTACACATTTTTGCCTTTGTTTATGTAATTTCTGCATGTTTATTTTTTACTTTTCATTGAAGATTGAAGCAAGATGACCACGAAAACGCCAGTGTCTCGTCTCCAAGAAATCAGTATGAAAATGAAATTAGCTCCACCTGAGTACGAGCTCACCTTCAGCAGGCAGGAAGGTTTGAATCCTTCCTTCACCTTCAAGTGCATTTTCAACGGCACCAGTGGTAAAATTTTATCAATTAGTTTCTGTTTACAAATAATTGTTTACTTCTGTCTCCGCAGCTGAGGGTTCAGGTCGCACCAAGAGGGATGCGAAACATGAATCTGCAGACGCCCTGCTGAGGTTGCTCCAATCCGACTTGGAGAATGAGTCTATTCTGTTGGTTTTCAGAATTTATAGATTCTTTTTCTATGAAACTAAAATTTTCTTTGTTCAGAAATGTGGTGCCTGATAATGTGGTCCTGCCTCATAGCAACAAGGTCCAGAGGAACTTTGTCGGAGAACTGGCCGAGTACTGTCTGGAGGTGCTGCACTTTGCTGAAAGGCCGGTGTATGCAGAAGTGGAGGCCAGCGGAGCCGCCCACGACCCCACCTTTACCATGAAGTGCACCGTCAGTAACTTTTCTGCTGAAGGTATAATTTTAACTTAAAATCATTTTGTATAATAACGCTCTTAAAGCTGATTTTGATTGATGAATTTTTCAACATTTTGTAAATGATTTTTAAAGGGAATCCTTTGTTTCATCAGGAAAATAAAAGTTATAAGTTCAATTATTATTTTTACTTTACTTCATCTGTTGAAAATTAAGAATTTTTTTCCTTCCTTATTTTTTTTTTTTTTTTTTTTTTTTTTAGCAAAAGGCCCTACTAAAAAGCAAGCCAAACAATTGGCAGCAAAGCAAGTGCTGGAAAGACTTCAATCCTTAAAAGATCCTGAAGAGGTAAAGTTTTCTTTTTTTAAATCACAAACGTTCAATTTTGAAATTTAGAAATTTTGTAGATGCCACAAGAGAAGCGAGAGAAGCTGTTAGATTTGTCCAATATGAGTGAAGAAGAAAAGGTGGTTATTAAGAGGGTGTTGGCCCTTCACAAATCGGCTGCTCCAAAGTTGGAGAACGTCAACAAAACCAACGACATCTTCAAACAGTTTTACTGCAAAGACTTGCCCAGCCTTGCGAGCTATCCTGTGAGAATCTATTATTTTATTTTTAAGTTTGAAAAAAAAAATTGAAATTTTGTAAAATTTATTTATAATATTAGGAAGACAGACTGAAAAGTGATTGGGACCCCTGTGCTAGACTGCAAGATGTGTGTTCAGTCCTTGGAGAGAACATGCTTTCGTACTATAATTTTAACAAATTCAATGCAAACGTCAACAATGGGTGAGGATTTACAAAGAAAATTGTGGAATGTTTATATTTTACATAAATCAAATTTATAGAGATTTCTCTGAGACCGAGGGCACAATTATGGAACAGGATCAAGGTAAGACATGATTTATAAACTCTAAATAAATAAATATTAAAAATAAAATTATTTTCAGTCTACTTTTCATGTTCGACAACTGTCCACATTAGACCTATGAATTTGACCTGCAAGGGATGGGGAAAAAGTCCAGAGGAATGCATCAAAGCTGCTGCTGAAAGAATGTTGTTTTTGATGTTCTGTTTTGTCTATGACAAGGATCCATTTGCCACTGTTTAGACACATGATTGTGAGTTTGCAATTTAGCAGTAAGCTATGTGATGAAATTATGGACTTTTCAAACAATAAAATGAATTACATTGAATTTAAAATTCATTTCAATTATATTTATGTTGCTGTCGCATGTACATGCTCAAAAATGCTTCTTTTCATTAGCGATAACTTTAAAAAAAAAAAAAATTGCAAGAATAAATTATGCTTTAAATTTGTTATATGTAATACAATGATAACAAATATTATAAAATATCTACTGTAAAATATGGAGGATTTTGTTTTTACAAATAAATTTGTACCTCAAATATCGTTGAAGGTTAAAGTTGTCAAAGTCAAAATTTGTTTTCTACATCCATGGATTAAGAGTTTTGTATTTTCGTGTTTCGCGCCCTAGAAAAAAGGCACTTACCGCTAGGTGGCAGCATTTGCCGACTTTAACTCTACTCCCCCCAGTACTCCCACCTCCCCACCCATTTACCTCGAAGGAAGAAGAGCGTCCCTGGGAAATTTGCCGACAAATTTGACGGATCGACCGGAAAAGAAGGCGAAAAGCGGCCAATTTTCAATTGCAGAGGTGTACCTGTGACCGCAGGTGAACATGTCGCGGCACCGCGATTCAGCAGTGGCGGATTGCAAGGTCTACGTCGGAGATCTGGGTGAGTGTGAGTCTGACAAATTTTACATACCGTCGTATTTCAAAATGCCGCTATGGTGGGCCTAATCAGACCTTGATAAACGAAATTAACACGCACTTCCATCATTTCTTCCGGCACCCCCGTTTTCCAACTCAAAAACTTTCCAAATTCTCTTGAAATGAAAAAGATTTTAATCACTTGACCTTTCAAATCTCGTTTTAGGCTCCAATGCGTCCAAGCAAGAGCTGGAAGAAGCATTTTCCTACTACGGACCCTTGAGGAATGTTTGGGTGGCCAGAAACCCACCCGGCTTTGCTTTCGTCGAATTTGAAGAGTGCCGAGATGCTGAGGATTCTGTCAGAGGCCTCGATGGAAGGTTTGGCCCAAATCAAATATTTTTTTTTTATAAAAATATAAATTAGAAATTCTATGAAAAATAAACCAAAAATTAATTTTACTTCAACTTGTTTAAAGGACCATCTGTGGCCGTCGAGTTCGAGTGGAAATGTCAAATGGCATGAGCAAGTCGCGGTTCAGGGGTGGCAACAGCCGTCGAGGCCGCCCCTTCCACCCTGAAGACAGATGCTACGAATGTGGCGAGAGGGGCCACTATGCCAGGGACTGCTCCCGCTACAGCCGCCGTGGTGGCGGAGGCAGTGGTGGCGGCGGCGGACGTCGCAGGTAAGAATGGATCCGCTTGAATTCCCACTGCAGACTGGGGGCATTGCACAGGATGCCTGTGAATTATGCATTGCCAAAGCGCACTTCAATTCTCAATTTTTATCCATTTATTATCACTTTGAGTGTCTCAGGCAGCGTGAGGACCGCTGAGGTTTTGCTGAAATTGGGAAATGGATTGCTCAACAAATAAGTTTCAATGCATTAAATATTTAGATGTTTTTGAGTGGGAAAATAATCCATATTTTATTGAGGGACTCAATTAAGACATTTAAAAGCTTCCGAAGATCACTCAATTTAGTTTTTAATCATTGTTTAAAATTTCATTAAGTAGCAAATCCGTGGTCCTCACTAGACTTTGGATTATTCAGATGAATTGGTGATAATTGAATGCTGTGTTACCTTTATAGGCAGTTTGGCTGAAGTGTTCGACCTACGTTCCGCGCGTAAATTTGCAATCTGCGCTCTCTCGATCGAAAGAAAGAATCCGCCTTGTGCACCTCTCCGAGTCCACTCGCGAGTTTTGCGTCTTTGCCACTGCGAGACAGACTGCGTAGTCCTTCCTTACTAGATCTTCTACTTATAAAGAGATCAGCCAGTCCGTCTGATGCAACCGTCACTTACAGACACACACATTCAGCTCTACAAGCCCCGATCAAATGCTGACTGATTTATGTACTGCGCAGACCCCGAGAGTCCTGTAAGGACGGGCAGCAAATTCAAAAGATTTCTCAAATCGAGAATAACCATCGTCGAGTCCTTTCAAAAGTATAAATCCAACTAACACCGATTTGTAAATTCAATTTTCCTTAAAGTCAAAGCCCCTCTTGCATTTTCATAATTTTCATTACCAAAAGTGGTCTGAAAGCATTCCCAGCCCGCTCTTACGGTTTAATTTTTTTCATAAGAAAAAAAAACGGCGTCATTCTTGTCTAATTTAAATCTCATAATCGAACACTCAAATGGAGCTATTCGGCAATCTAACGTATTTATAGGCGTTCCTATCCCTGGGTCAAAGCGATTCATTTTGGATTTTGAAATGCAGGTCTTACTCTCGTTCCCGCTCTCGCAGCCGCAGCCGTCGCAGCAGATCTGGATCCAGGTCGCCAGCATCCAGGAGCCGCTCCAGGTCACGCTCTGTCCGCCGCTCTCCTGCTGACAGGAAGAGCCGCAGCCCTAGCCGTTCCAAGTCCAGAAGCCGTTGATTAGGTAATGCTTGTGAAAAAAAGTGGAATTTTTCTCATACCAAGTTTTCTTAGCAGGACCAAATGACGAAAAGTAAAACAGAGGCGGGTGTTCCACGACATGGACCTGCGATTCCATCATAAGAAAAAAAACTTCGTACTTTTAGCTTAAAGTTATAATTTATCGTACATTTTTCTAGAAGTAATCACATACTGATGATAGATTATCGCAGTTTGCAACAGCACGAGGTGCTTGTTTTGTTTTCAGTATGAGTTGATGTGTAAAACCAGCAGATTTGAGTAGTTTTAGACGACATGTAAAATGCACTAATAAATATTTGGCAATTCTCCTCATGAAATAAATGTATTTTTATCTATTTGATATCTAACGTAAACAAGGCATTTTTTAATCTGATAATGATGGACAAAAAAACTTCTATAACTGGAATCGATAAGCGGTCTGATATTGAACCTTGCTACATAGAGGAAGAAGCTAAAATTTTTGTTTTTTCATCATTGGTCATTTCTCAATTTGTGAGCAGATTAAATAAAAAAATTATGATTCGGCTCAGATAACCTTATCTACATTATGGATATAGTAAAATTTATGTACCTATAATATTTTAATATATATCAGTTAAATGGCAGGTAACTTAAAAATTAGAACCGCGCCCCCTTTATCGGCACTAAGATTTTCAAGTTGATTTTCAACAATTAGTGACACGTTAGTCATTTGTCTTGGCTTCGCTGATTGGTGAACATGTGCCGAGAAAGGGGGCGTGGTAGCTGCCGAGCACTTATTGGTGCTGCTTGTGCTTGGTGCCGAGGTTGGAGTTGGCAGCAAGGAAGTGTTGATAGACTGTCCGTTCTTGTTTTATTAGAAAATTCCGCAAATTTTCATCGTGTCATAAGACGAAGGGGCTACTGCCAATTGAATGATGTCACACCTTAACGCAGAGGTCATAATAGAGAGACGCCGTCACCGTCACCAGAGACCCTGCAAAAATGGCAGCCGTCAAACGCGAAAATATCCAGGTCTACATTCGCGTCAGGTGCGATTTTTCAATAATTCTTGCACATACACAGTTACATACACTACTGCAAAATTATTTCCAACAAATATCTTATATTAATATAAATTTGTCGCAATGCAGGCCAATGACTGAAAATGAGGAGCGACAGAAGCAAAAAGACCACAACCGCATCGTGGTTGAGGTGAACAAAGCAGACAAAAATATCATTATTGTGCCTGACCGCAACAACTTGGAGAAAAAGAAAACGTTTGTTTTCAACGAAGTCTTTGGCCCAAACAGACAACAGGCTGAAGTCTTTGAAAAAGTTGCACTTCCCATGGTGACTCGAGTGCTCGAAGGCTACAACGGCACAATATTTGCTTATGGGCAAACAGGCAGTGGCAAAACCTTCACTATGGAGGGTGGTTCACATTCTCTCTGCGATCAAGTAAGACTATAATTTCTGAATATAAAAGCTCATGAATGAACAGATTTTCCAATTTAATTTTAATTACATTGGTACATACATTTTTCTGTTTTTAATTGTTCAATAATATAATAATAAATTTTATTTTTAGGAATCCCTGAATGGATTAGTTCCTAGGATTGTTTGCCATTTACTTGAAGAGCTCAAGCAGAAAAATCACAAAATGACTGTCAGCTATCTTGAGATTTACAACGAAGAGCTCATTGATTTGTTATCATCAGACGAGAACAAGACTAAACTTCGGTAATTTTACTTAAAAATTATATTGTACGTTGACTAAAAAATTTATTCATATTTTAAGCTTGCTGGAAGACAACACCCATTCTAGAGGCTCTGTGATTGTGCAAGGAATTTCAGATGTGTTGGTGACACACAAAGAGCAGGTTTTTGACATATTGTCAAGAGGCGCAAAAAAGAGACAAACAGCTGCCACCCTCATGAACGCAACCTCTAGGCAATCCATTTAAAAGTCAAATGTTTAATCCATTATTATAAATATCTTTGATTTTAGTCGTTCACATGGAATCTTCATGATCACCATTCAAATGTGCGAGTTGACCGAAGCTGGCCAAGACCTGATCAAAACCGGTAAAATAAACCTGGTCGACCTTGCTGGCTCCGAGTCAATCGGCCGTTCAGGTGCCACAAACTTGAGGGCCAAAGAGGCTTGCAACATCAACCAGAGTCTTTTGACGTTAGGCAGAGTAATTACAGCCCTTGTTGAGAAAAAGGTGCACGTCCCCTACAGAGATGCGAAACTTACAAGATTGCTTCGAGATTCGTTGGGAGGCAACACTAAGACAGCCATTGTGGCCACAATCTCCCCGGTGCTGTCCAACCTTGAGGAGACTCTTATGACTCTGGATTACGCTCACAGGGCAAAGAGCATAGTAAACAGGCCGCAAATATGCCTGCGTCCGACCAAGCAGGTGTTGGATTACGAGCAAAAAATTGAGCACCTGAGACAGGCTCTGATAGCCGCACGGGCACGAGCAGGACCTGATAACAAGGAGCTAGAACAGATAATTGAGCAAAAGAACAAGGAGTTACTTGACAAGACCACCATCATAAAATCTCTAGAGGAAAAAGTGATGAATTTGACCGACAAGTTGGAGAAAATGGCTGTCACACTTGCCACTGACAAGGAGCTTACTGAAAAGACCCAAATAATAAGATCGCTTGAGGCCGACATGATGAAGAAAGAGGTATGCTTGTACAAAATCCATAAATATTTCATTGTTTTGTGAATTAAATTTGTATTATTTTCATAGGCGTTGGTCAGCAAACTATCTCTAAAGTTAAAAGATTTGACGGAAAAGATGGAATTAATGGAGAGAGAAGATGAGCGCCAGGACTTGGAGCTAATGGACAAGACTAAGGTCATAAAATCTCTAAAAGAAGAAGTGAGAAATTTGTCTGAAAAGTTAAATAAAATGGCTGCCAACCCTGTTGTCACTGAGGGGAAGCCAAATCAAAAGGAGATTCCAGACAAGCATCTGAATACAGAAGCAGAAGTGAAATCAACATCAGAAAAAGTTCTCAGTGTCACCAAGGCAACAACCAGAGATCTTCAAAAGACTCATGAGGCCACTTCGAACAAGGAAAATGTAAATCAGCAGAGCACTCCACACAAGGTAAATATTAAATTACAGCAATTTACGGCAGCTGCCAAAATTAAAATTTATCGGGATATTATCCTCTCTAGAGAGGATCCGGATAAAAGTCGGTTTTGGCAACTGGGGATTCTACACCCAAGTTATTTTTTATGACGCGAGAAAAAATAGCATTCTTTACTTAATATGTTTATTGTTTTAGATTCCGTTCAACACAATTGCTTTGGACGATTCAAGGATTCGCAGAATCAAGTTGCAAAAGAAGACGTTCGGGTGAGAAATAGAATAATTTTAAAGAAAGTCTTTATGCTATGTAAATGGATTAATAAATAAGGACTAATACGAGGAATATTCCACGCGCAATTTTTGCGGAGAGATAATTTTTGGAAATTTTGACACCATCAAAATAATTGATTAGATTTTTGTCTCCTTCAAGAAAATGCCCATTAATTATAACTCTTTGTTACCTATTGGCAATGGAGAGCCATCTTGGATTTTGAGTTTTAAAATATCTGGTTATAATTTAAGGCAAGTTCATATGGCTCTGGATGGTAAATTGAGACGATATTATCAAAAATAAAAGGGGCCATAAGGTCACGTAAGTGTGCGTATTGACCATCTCAATAGGCCTGTACAGACGGAAATCAAGTGCAAAAACTTAATGCGCTTATTGTTAGTAGTCCTTATATTAGTCCTTAAGCATGGGGCATATAATAGTCGTTAACATTTTCACCTGTGAATTTTTAGACATTATGTTGGGGGAATCGCCAAGTTGGTATGTGGACAAGGTAACGAGCACCAGTACTCATTATATAACAAGAAGAAAACTAAACTCCCAGATCACGTAGTTGAGAACATAATTGGTAAAATCTGATATTATAAACGTTCCTTACTTATTTCTTATATTACTTCATTTTCTTTTAAAGCCATTGTCAAATCATCATACAAGGACTTCGAGGACTTAGCAGCCACAATAACCGCAGATACCAAAGTTGAAATACCAAAGGACGACACCAAGGACGAGATAGTGGTAAACATAATAAAAAGCAAAATCGAACGCCACTTAAGATATGAAGGGGATAAAGTTAAACAGATTAAAAATCTAGGTATTTAACAGAAATAATTTTAAGAGCTCTTTTTCATTACTGTGCCTCTTTCATTTAAGGTAAGCTGCTGAAGGATCTCGAGGATTTGCTATTGAAAGGGCACGCCATCAAGGACCATGTCAGAGAAATCCAAAGGTTGGCTTCCACTATGAGTGGCACTTGTGGCAGTGAAGTCATCCCGTTACTCTGGACAAGTGCCATGTCACAAGATGATGAGAACGTGGAGAAGGAGCTGGTTGCCGAGCAGGCCCTGAAGCATCTGAAGGCTTATGCCCCTGTCTTTACTGCCTTCACTCAATCAGCCAAAAGTAAGCAACGTCTTATGCTAACTGTGCAGGAATACTGCTTTGCCGACAAACACGTCAAACCGCTGTTCTCAAGCATCATCAAAGAACTTTATGAATTGGAAGTATTGTCGGCAGAGGATATCAGAAATTGGTACGATGGAAGCAAATCTACCAAGGGGAAGTTGATGTTTCGAAACCAGATTAAGACGTTTGTTTATGGACTCCCAACTGGAATGGAGGATTCAGAGTCAGACTAGAAGTTGTTCAGGATTCATACTAATTTTATATTTTGACAATTTGTCACCCATTTTTTTTTTTATAAATTCCTGATAATTTTATTTTTGTGATGTGATTCAAAATAATAGTAAGAATAAGCCTCAATTGATATATTTTTGTAAAATTTGCATAAATGTATTTGATTATTTATTTTATTGTGAAAGCTATCAATTAATGTGGATTGAATCAAAGTTGGAGTGTCTCTAAAATTGTGAAGGAACAGCCCTCTTGTCTTTTATGTGGGGCAAGCCTTCAGCTTGCTCAGGTTGTTTACTTGTATTATAGGCACCGGCCGACACTAACGCGTCAATAAACCACCTCAGTCACTCTCTACCGCGGGAGCCTGAGATGCAGGTCATGTCATAAACAAAGTAATTAGTGTTCTTTAATCTATCTTATCCGCAGCTTAATGGGGGGGGGGGGGGGTGTTAGTTGGCCCATTTTGAGCTTACAGAATTCTAGAATTAAGTGTTTTAAAAGTGAATAATTGTAAAATTAAATGGGAAGACAAATCTAAAATAGAAAAATTTCCAATTGGTTTTTAAGAAAGGAACAAAATTTATAATGTATTCCTAATTGTATATTGTATCACGCGAATACAAATAGCATGAAAACTTCAATTTTCAAGTTAAACAAGAGTGTTAATTTTGAGCTGCACATTCATTTATTTCTTTTTAATCAATTTTTATAATTACAGCCATAGAAAACAAATATACAAAATTGTATGCAGCGCATAAGCATTATGTATAAATAATGGCCGGTTGCAGAACAGGAGTATAATTATAGTTATTGAATATTTGTTACTGGCATTTGAAAAACTTATTCACGCAGATCAATTGGCTATTTTGCAACCAGCCTCGCATCTCTTTGGCAAACACTTTTATCACGGAGTACACTATCAAAGTTGGCATTGTGCGGAGAGGGTCCAATGCACTCACACGAGTTCAATCGTGGTGAACACACCGCCAGTCTTGCAGACTCAATGCAGGTCAAACTTTGAATCCACAACATATTTCATCGTAGGTGTCATTTGAATCGGTCCACAACTTGGACCTTCAAAACTTGGCAAGCGGAGCTCAAAAGATTGAAATTAAAAAACCGTTTTAAAAACAAAACTTTTTGCAGTTCAAACGCTGTGTATGTGTCACAAAGATAATAATGTATAAATAAAGGTTAAAAATTTTGAGATTTGTACTCCTCGGAACAAAAAACATAACAGTAAAAAGTATAATATCGTAAAAAGCATGCCTTGTTTGGTTACCATAGCAATAAAATAGGCTATTTAAACATTGTTCAACATTTCACAGAGCCACCATAATTATTACACCAATCGTTTCTCTTAATTAGCTTGACAATCGAGCTGAATCTTATGACACAAAAGTTCCCTATTTTTTTCTCTCTCTCAAAACAATCAATTTGTGCTTGCGAAAAATGCGTAATCTTGAGCATTGGGAAATTTCATAATATACGATTTTACAGAGAAACAAGTTTCATTCACAGCAAACGTCTGTTTTCAAATTCGCCAGTCTGAGTTTCTTTTGTCATTAGGCCTTGAAACAAAACATTTGGCTGCCTGTTGAGTGATAATAATAATCACAGGTTGGTAACAAAAATTAGAACCAAAAGGCAGGGCACCGACCAAAGCTGAGACCAAAATTGCATTCACGACTTTTGTACGTAGCTGCGCCACTACTCGCCAGGCAGCACCTCGTTTTTCGACGAGTTGTGTCTGGTTTTGCGCAAGCACTTCTGGTCAATGCTGGACAGCGCAGCTGTCTTGTCAAAGTCAATGGACGCGTAGCCAGTGGCGCCTTTGGGCGAGTTGACTGCCGTCGGGGTTGACACTAGGGAGTTGGCTGGCGACAGGGGGGTCGACTGAGAGCTTTCACCGCCACCGTCAAGGTCCAATTCTATGTAATTTACCCTCTTCACCTGGAATAGAATTGAAAATGGTTAGATTGAGAGAAAATTAAGTGACAGCATTTCAATTTTGATTAAGTTCACCATCAACATGTAAGAGTCATCTCCGTCAAAATTTGAAACAATGCTCGTCGGCTGTTAAAATTTTTCATTTTAATACGAATTTTATTTAAAATGGGGAAAATTGGTTGATTTTCCATTATATTATAAAGTACAAATAAAATTCTAATGATTTTCTTATAAATAATTGAGAAATTCTAATTTTTTTTTTAATGCCTCACCTCTTCAACAGGTTCCGGTGCAGATAAAGGCGGCACGGTTCGCAGCTCTAGGCTAAGGTTGGCATAAAAATGAGGGTCCATCAGTTCCGGCATCTCCAGGACCTGCAGCGGCGCCCTGCTGACAGGGGTCGCCACCTCTTCAGGTGTGGCCACCGAGCCCACATTCATGTACAGGTGGGCCTCTTCTCCGAAAACGTTGGCCGCCTTTGGGGTGGTCGGCGTCCGCACTGTCTCCTCTGCCACCACAGGCCACACCCTTTCAGCAACCTGTGCGGCAGGAGGAAGGTCGTTGGCGTAGACGGCGCCGCCGTTTCTGTTGGCGATCACAGGCACAGAGGTCTGGGGACTCAGCAGGCCCAGGGAGTGCCGGTCAAAGGTCACCGACCGGCTGGTGCGCAGGGGCTCTAGGTAGTTTGGTTCGTTCGGGCTGTCGACCATGGGGCTGAAAGAGTGGTTGTGCGGAAGAGTTCCAGGTGGGGACACGGTGGGAGCTGGAAGGTCGCGGGACAGAGTGTCGTCGGGGCCAAGAGCTTGGACATTGAGCTGGAAAAGCAAGATTCGCGTTTCAAATGAAAAATAAAATTATAAAATCTCTAAAATGAGGTAATATTGCAATTTTTAAATTTAATTAACTGCAATAAGGATAAATCGGGATAAATAATTTTCTTTCTTTGTTTACAATAAATAAGTCGACGTTTTTCTTCGCATTTTCCTTGCTCTACAGAAAATGGTGTAATGAAAATAGTTCATCAGAAGATATCTTAATCAACTAACTTGCAAAAGGTTGAAAAGGTGTTCGGCCCGTTGGCATTTGAAGGCGTAAATTCCGGGGCCTGTGACGCATCGCCTGCCAGACTCAAAGGTGAAGACGTCTGCATCGAAGCCATACCTCCGAAGACACCTGAGAGGCCACTTGACTGGATTCTTGCCGTGTTGGTACAGGATCAGCTCGTGGTCACTGACCTCAAGCTGTCCCGAGCACAGAACCTGGCCGGCGTCATCCAGGTTCATAACCCGGAAGATGTGGGCGTGCACGTCGTTGATGTCTGGTTTGCTCGAGATGCAACCCATTTGTCCGGCCACTACGAGTGACTCATCCTACAAATAAAATAAATAAACCATCAGACAGAGCAAATAAATGAAATACATAACAAACAATGAAATCATCATCAACAAAAGCAGTAAAATTTGTCACAACTGCTTGCATTTTTGAAGGGAAAAGATAAATAAAATTACGGCAATTTTCATCGTCACCGGTTTTGTTACCTTCAAATGGTGAAATTTCAGCAGTTTCGCGGAATGGAAGCGACGGCCCGCAGAGTTTCCTGTTAAAAGAGCACTCGTTTAATTTTCCATGGACACAAAACACCAACCACGATTGGCTTACCTGAGGGCCACGCTGAGCAGCATGACGCCGAGAGCACTCCTCAGGGCAAGGTTGCGTCTACAAGGTCATCGTATTTTCGGAAAATTGCCGACAATTCGGCCGGAAAAGGCTCGAATAAAAGGTTGATTGTGTCGAACGAAAAATCGTCCGTCGCCGCCCCTCTTTTGCGTCCGCAACAGGAACATACACAAACAGTGCTGCCAACAAAACAAAATAACATGAGAGGTTCTCCCAATCGTTCACCCGTACGTAACCTGTACGCAACCCGCACAACACAAAACCTTTTCTAGAAACTACAAAAAGAAAAAAGATGAAGAATTCCGGAAAATTCGCTTCCTGCAGATTGAAGTTTCAATCAGAAAATGAATAAACGAATAATTAAAAAAATCGGGTTTTCCTTACTGTCCATACTCGAATAAATACAAATTTGACAAATTTATTCTGGTAATTTCTTTTTTAATTATATAACAGTAATAAGACACAAATTATTGGCGTGGCCCTCGTGGCACCAATTTTTATCGCCTTGAATAATAATTTGAAAGTTTTACACTTGTTGGCATACAATACAAAATATTAATTTTAATTTAATTTAACGAACTACTTCATAGTCTCAAAAAATATGCAAATAAATTGTTTTCAACAATAAAATGTAAAAAATAAATAACAATTTTAAATATTTGTAAAAAGTTTTAGGAACAATATAATCGAATTTAATTGGAATCATAAAAAAAATCCTCTAGAGGAAAATACAAACACTAAGTGAAATTTGGAAACGCTTCTGTTTATTTTGGTGTGCTAGGCACTTCTTGGCTCGCAATTTGGTCATCCGCTTCTGGGCATTTTTTTTATAGTTTTAAGGGTAATTGCTGAATTCCGAAAACGAAAACATGCCATTTTGGTTTTCAGACATGTTGTTGGGTATGATAAGAGGTACCTCTCCCTAAATTTTCAGATGAAAATTTCATGTGCTTTTCCGGGAAATCGGATTTCCGTAAAAAACCAAAAAATGGAATATCTTTGTTTCTAATAAGAAATTTCAAGTACTCTCTTCGTTTCTAGGTGTAACTTTTTATGCTGAACAACTTTGCCGTTGACAACTTTTGTGTAGGTCAAAGGTCAAGGTCACTAAATTACAAATTTCACTTTTGAACGCAATTTTCAAAAAGAAGCACACCTTTGATTTTTTTCTAGGTATAGGAAAAAATGTAGCCCCAAGTGTGTAGAACAATATACTTGATTTTCAAAATGGCATTATTTTTAGTTCAAAAGATAATTTTAAGTGAATATTAAAAAACTGATAAAAATCGCTATTCGGCAATAGAAATTAATTTTCAAACAGCAATAACTTAGTTCCTGTGAGAGATACGTCCGTAGTTGTATTGACAAAAAGTGTTTTAAATTACTTTTTCTATCGAACCATGTAGTGGTCATCCATGTTTGGTCACTTACGGTTATTGACCCCAGTGACCTATGACCTTAGAAAAATATTTTTGCATAAAATTTCATACAAAAACATTGTTTTAAAAGTATTCTTCAATTTTTTGTGCCACAATTTTGATTAACCCTTTTTTAAGGTCATAGGTCACAGGGGTCAATAACCTTAAGCGACCAAACATGGATGACCAATACATGGTTCGATAGAAAAAGTAATTTACAACACTTTTTGTCAATACAACTACGGACGTATCTCTCACAGGAACTAAGTTATTGCTGTTTGAAAATTAATTTCTATTGCCGAATAGCGATTTTTATCAGTTTTTTAATATTCACTTAAAATTATCTTTTGAACTAAAAATAATGCCATTTTGAAAATCAAGTATATTGTTCTACACACTTGGGGCTACATTTTTTCCTATACCTAGAAAAAAATCAAAGGTGTGCTTCTTTTTGAAAATTGCGTTCAAAAGTGAAATTTGTAATTTAGTGACCTTGACCTTTGACCTACACAAAAGTTGTCAACGGCAAAGTTGTTCAGCATAAAAAGTTACACCTAGAAACGAAGAGAGTACTTGAAATTTCTTATTAGAAACAAAGATATTCCATTTTTTGGTTTTTTACGGAAATCCGATTTCCCGGAAAAGCACATGAAATTTTCATCTGAAAATTTAGGGAGAGGTACCTCTTATCATACCCAACAACATGTTTGAAAACCAAAATGGCATGTTTTCGTTTTCGGAATTCAGCAATTACCCTTAAAACTATAAAAAAAATGCCCTTCTATATTTATTCTTTTAACCAAAGCACAATACAATTGCTTTTTACATGTCACGTGTTTTGACTTTCAAAGCGAGAGGACAACTTGTATTCTGTTGGGCCCCCCTGTTGTTTTCGCGTTGGCCAATATTTAATTCGCAGCTACCACTTCTTCTTCTTCTTCCCATTTCACATTAGCGGAATTAGCTAATCGGTTCAAAAAGAAAGAGAGGTGGTCGCTCTCTCACTTATTTTTTACACCAGCAGTGCGCAGTTAGCGTTCACGTGACGGACCGCCAACATATATATTCACACGAAAACGAAAAAAGCACAACCAAGAGCAAAGAGTAAACAAACACAAAGATAGCTAGCCGAGTTTGTCAACCGCGGTGCAGTTACGTACGTATTTACATATATGCATATGTGTGCTACTAATAATAAAATAAATTGCAGTTGTTGGTTCGCCGAGTTGCCAGCCAGCAGCACCCCGCGCTCTCGGCGGCGCCGTGTGTATAAATACAGGGCGGCACAGTGCATGCGTCAGAGAGAAACTCTCCATCGGCACCGACAGAGGAGCACCAGACAGTCAGGCGACCACACCAAGCGATTGAGGTCGCAAAACGACGCAATTTCGGTTGTAACCCACTCTTTTGTTTTATGGGTGAGTGAATAAATTTGTTTCCATATTAATTAAAAATTCTCAGGTAGAAAATAATAATCTGTCGCTAAACGTCAAAAGAAAAGTTAATTGTGCCACCCAAAAATAGTAAATAAAAATTTTAGGGTTGACGAACTTCGGAGGTTTAATTAAATTTTAAAACTGTCTGCAACTCTTCTAGAATTGAAATGAATTTCATATTTTTCAGTATTATTTTTTCATTGGTTTGAGTGACCTGATTGTATGTGAGATGGCAAAGTTCTCAATTATCTACTTTCTCGTTACTTTTTTTACACATTATTCCTTGGGAGAAACGCGGAAGTTTTAGATTACGTGTTTCCAGCAAATAGGAACTCATGCACGTTACCCACTTCTGACAATCCCCGCGCGTCAGCACGTTTTTCCTCGAATACATGTATAAAAATCGATTTTCGCCTGCTTTGTTGACTTCCGTCGGCGCGCGGCCTGCTCCCCTCAGCCGCTACCCCTTTGAGCACTGCAGAAATATGTGCATGACTAATCCAGCATGGCAACCGATGAATTTATTGCAAAAAAAAAAATCGTAGCACTTCCTTCAACAATAATAAAAATGCAGCCTTGGATGGTGCAGCTGCGAAACGTGTTCAGCTGTGCCCGAGCTTATCTCTCGTTGTGTCTGTCTATTGATTTTGCTCTCGACAGTCAGGTGAGCTGTTTTTGTCGGCTTACCCAACAACTCACGCACACTTGCATGTGCTCGCAGGATGATCATTATTATTTGTTCAATGGGTCCGTCAGAGCGAAAGGGGAGCACCTTTGTTTTATCGCGAGAAAGGACGAAACAAGGACGGGATTGTAAATAAAACGGTTACATGCTAATGCTCAAGACACGGTTAATTAGTGCACGTGTTGAGCAATTGCGTTCACTTTGTACGCTCGCGTGCAATACTTGTTTATTTTCAGGGTCGACCGTGCGGATCGCGGATTTCCATTTAATGACCGAGATATATGCACCTGTTGCAATTTTAATTAACCTGATGTTACTTTTACTTTACTCTTTGTTAAGACTTATGCGGAAGAGTAAAAAAAAAATTTATAATTTGCAAAACTTTTTAAAAGGCAGCGAAGCTCCTAATTCTTGGGCTGTATATTTTTCACAATAAAATATTGCACAGAAACCGTAGCGACTTGGAACAGAGAATTTGAAATACACGCGGAAAATAAAAAACTTTGTAATTGTCATATTAAAATTCAGTTTATATTTTACATAATCGCAATTACAGTTTACAATTCACCTTTTTTTATTTATTATTTGCAGTAAACTTTAGAAAACAAATTGATTAAAATAGGTGTAAAATAATTAGCTCCAAGAATTCTGAAGAATTTAAACGTTGCTAAAGAGTAATAAAAATATTGTATAAAAAATACTTTTTAAAGTTTATAAAATAAAATGCAAATATAATTACAAAATTCTTACAGTATTTATGACATTTTTTAACACAATTTAACATTTTAATAATATATATATAAAATTTTATTTTCAATAAATATTAAATTTTTTTGATTTTTACATGAAATGTGTTTCATAATTATTATAAAATTTTGAAAAATAATACAACAATTTACCTTTTTTTAAGACTATTTTTATTTTAAATAATAGATCACTTAGTTAATCGTCTCGTATAAACTTTTTAAAGCGATATTTCAATCTTTCCTTTGGTTGTATTAATTTTTTTATAATATATGAATATTTCATTTTCTGCATTTATTTTAAATATTTCCCTGTTGGCGTTTCGTGTTTCAGAGGTTTCTGGAAAGTGCGCAATTTTATTTTGATATACAAGAGGTTGGCGCGGGTCGTTATCAGCACCGGATACACACTTTTATTTTGTCCCATTAGAGAACGGTACGTCGTGGGGTTGACGTCATTGAGTGGAGCGGTGAATGACTCACGCGAACTTCTCAATAGATTTTAATTACGTACAATACACACAAGGGGGTCAGCATTAATTTCGCATTGACCTAAAGCGGCCAGAACTTTCCACATCTCACTGGTTTTTCCATAGAAAGCGCTGGAAGGCAATCACAAATCAATTTATATCAAATCACTCAACCTCACATAGACAGGGGTGCAAGCAATGAATGTTTCATATCAGCGACAGTTCAAAGGAAAAGAAAGGGTCGACGTGACTAATGACTATTGACCGCGGTGGACTCATTTCTCAACGAGTCTAGACTAAACCTGAAAAAATAAGACAAAGCCGAATAGAGTGGTAAATTCAATAAATGCTGACCTAGATACGATATTTAAATGTGCCGGCGTAGATTGGGATGTTGCTCAAGTATAATTATTAAATCATTGCCAAGAACTTTTCTAAACGCAGACCTTCTCTTTTAATGCTATGTAATTAATATTCCAAGGTGAAATGCAAATTTTTTCAATCGTTCTTCTCCAAATTTCTGCACACGCTTGAATTATTGACCCGTGCAAATTTTCCATGACGTCAGTCGGTCTGCTGCACCACATGGTCAAGGCCGTAGCGCAAAATATAGAGCTGCACACGACGGGGAGTTATATTATTTCAGTTATTACTATGCAGGGCTTGTATGGCCTCGAGGAGTTGCTTTCAAAAGCTTTGAAAGTGTAAAAAATAGCAAAGTACACTTGTTCTCACTCAAAGACAATTGCAATAATGACGCTGAGAATAAATATGCATTTGGTTTTTGTTAGAGAAAACAGTAAAGAAAAAAAACTACGTCGCATTTTTTTATATAGGAAAATTCTCAAAATAGATCAAAAGTATTATTTAATCTGAACCAAGCAAAGCAAAAGCATCATTTTTTTTTTGCATAAAATAAAATAAATCAATCTTCAATTAAGAATTGCTTTTTTATCTTGACATTATTTACTTCTTATTTAAATATATTTATTTCATTTTGTAAAAATATGTAGACAATAATTTTTTGAATGTTAAATTATGATAACATTTAACCACAGGGCAGATATTTAAATTTTTTTTTAAGATTTGTAGATAAGCTCATTTTTTAATTTATAATTTACTCGAAATTGCAATATTTTGTGTTTCATTTTGCAGATCTAGAGGACGATTGTCATTTATCGTCCAGCAGGAGGTCCATCGGCGCCTCCAGCAGAACGCAGCTCCCGAAAGTCTCGAGCTCCAGCAAAACGGCGCCGGCCAAAAATGGAAACCCGGTGTGCAGCAGCGAAATCATCGACTCGATGGCGTCGCCGGAGGACTTCGTGCCCTCCGTCGGCAGGTGGGGCTGTGAATGGCCAAGTTGACTCGAAACGCCCGACTCGGACGCGCCTCATGCCAAGGGCCTAGCATGGCCCACGGACCGGCCCCTGCCCCTGCCCCAGTGGGCACGGAACGCCCCGCAGTCCTTCTGCGTACCCTCGATTGAGGCCTATCAAGACCTGGCCGCTAGCGTCGAGTTTCAGGTACAGAACCTGCTGCAGGAGCACCACTACAACACCGTCGGCAATTTCGTCAGGTATTTTACATCTTTTTAACATGTTAAATATTAATTTTTGCTCAATTTAAACTTTACATGTCTGACTGTTTTTAAGTATTAGTTTTAATTTTTCTATGTAAATGTCACTATTTAATTTATTTCTTTTCACTTATGCAAGGAATGATAGAAAAATATAATTTTCCATTGTTTGCAACAAAAAAATAATTAGCAAACAAAAATTTTAATAGTTTTAAAACCAAATAAAAATTTAATTTAATAAATAAAAAGTGAAAGTAAATAATAATAAAATTTTTTTTATTTAATTTGTCAGATTCTTCATGGAATTCCAATCAAGCGGCTTCACTCAACTGGACCAGTTCTTCAGGGAGTACTCGCCACCCATCACTCCAGAGCACCACACTTGCGTCGGCCTCGGACTTGAGCTTTTGAAGAAGCTTTGGCTCCTCGAGTCTAAGTTTCCAGGCCTCGCATCAAAGTTCTACGTCATCTCGTGCGAAGAGGTAAATCAATTTTATCGATTTTGCTCATTTTTCTTCTTGTTACCTTTATTAAAAATTGATGTTCATTTGAATGAAATTTCTAGGCCATTGAAAACACCGAGCGCTACATGGCCAACGGTCCTCCGCCTGTCCAACTGGCCGAGAAGGAACACATTTTGCTGGCCCTAAGAATCATGGTTGGGAACAGAAGTGGATTTCTGGTTTTGGACCCTGGCTATCATGTTGCAAGGGCGGTTACTGTCATGGCGGACAAGCAGTACCCACACACAGGTACATTATAAAAATTATAATTTATAAATTGATAAATTTTCACTAATTAATATAAAAAATTCAGGTTGGTTCACTCAGAAAGATGACGAAACCGGTGTGAAGGAGTACAACTACGAGATGGACGCCCTTGGCCGCTACCTGGTGTGGCGCATCCACGAGACCAACCCGCGAGGCCAGAGCCAGGACAACGCCAGCCTCATCTATGTGGAGCAGCCCTTCCTGTGCGCCGTCCAGTGCACAGAGAGGCGCAACTTGGTCTACAACTTCAAGAGCCTCCTGGCCAGGGACACCAAAGGCCACGTCATTGCCGGGATCTACTTTGACCTGACCTCGAAGGACAAGGTCACCTTGTTCTGCAACGACGACGAAGGCAAGAAAACGAAGAGGAAGGTGGACTTTGGTGTCTTTTTGAAGAAAAGCTTGGCAACGGGTGAGTTTCCGTTACAATGATGTGTTTTTTTTTACTTTGCCCCAAATACCAGAGATTTTTATATTTGGTATAATAAAATCCATTTTTTTTTTAATATTTACTTTATTACAAAATTTAAATTGATCAATGAATTTGAACTTTTGATTTTATAATAAATTATACTGATTTGATTTAACTCCTGCAAACCAGCTTGTAGGCAACCTGTTTGACACTCCTGCCTACAGGGTTGCATACGTTTTCGAGGTTTTTTTGAAAATAACAACTGATTGTAAATAATTTTTTCAGAAATTGAAGAGCTGGTTGAGGAGTGTGCGATCCAACTCGGCATGCTCGAGAACGACCTTCTGAGCCTGCTGGCAACATTGGCCACCATCGTGGAGAACCAAGAGTTTGTGGAACAAACACTCAGCATCAATGAGAACATCAACAAGATTGCTGCCGACAACTAGAGACGAGAAGAGAGAGGAATTGGAAAAGTTTACATCAGCTTTCAATTCTGAAAATTTTTAACCAATTTTTTGCCTAATTTTTACACTTTTATTGCACGAAGTGGTTTTTGTTTAGAAATAGTTACATGTAGTTAGTATTCTATGATTTAATGCAAATTTCAGTTTGTTCTGTTCCTTTGAAAATAAAAACTTTACTTGGAAAAATAAAAAAATCACTGACGTATTCTTTTTTTTAACTTCATTCCATAAGAAGTCGTTGAACCAGAGGCAGACGATCGTTTAACAATTCTAATTAATTGGAATTTCTGAGAAGCTCTGTCATCCTCTGAAAGTCAAACTACTATTAAATCAAGTTTAGAAAGAACTGGAACGCAATAAATAATTAATTTTCAATAGAAACGGCGAGACATTAATATCAATTATCTCTGTGCGTCTAAACAAATATACCTAGAAATTTTTCCTTTTAAGAAGTTTCCAATGCCCTTTGACGCGTGATTAAATTTAACATAAAAAGCGCCGCCGCCGTATTATTCATATGCGCTGGAGAAATCGTACATATTTATGCTTAGATGTCGCTGCTCAGGTCTGTGAGCACCAGGAGAGGCACCACAAGGTCACCGACAGTCTCCGGCCAACGTTTATCTCGAGCGCTCCGACGGCGCATTGTGAGCATTTATTGCACTGCAACAACAAACACCACATTTCTGGCGGACCGCAAACCGGCGAGTGAGTACAACACAATAATTATTTTAAAACTTTGAGAAGGAAAACCCCGTTGTTGTTTACAATGAAATAATATAAGACAGTTTTTTGTTTTGTTAATGCTTTAATTACTTAAACGTAGACTTTCAACACAAGCTATTCTTATTCTTGAGGCCAAAGAAAGATTTTTCGACAAAATAAAAGCTTAGCAAGAAATTAATTACATTTAAATTAACTATTTTAATTATTTTTAAGTTGCTGACAAGAAAAGTCTTAAAATGGCTTGTAATTATATACATATTTTTTTATTACTTTATCTGTAACTGTAAAATTTACAGAGGAATAAAATGTCTCAAACTCCAGAGGATAGAAGTGCTGCGTTTCACCACGATCCAGACGAAAAACCAGACAATCTCGAGGTTTTGGCTGTGAGAATTACTGCGTTTGGTGGTTTTGATAAAATTAAGGTACTCGGAACATAATTATAAATTTTCAAACGAACTTATAAATTATATAATTCTCACTTGCTAAACATAAAATACTAAAATTTTCATTTTTGAAAGGTCGAGAAAATTGAGCTTCCTTTGGAAATACCGGCAGGGCACGTCGAAGTCAAAGTTCACGCGTGCGGAGTCAACTTCGCCGACCTTTACATGAGACAGGGTTTGATGCGCAACCTGCAACCCCCTTTGACCTTAGGCATGGAGTGTTCGGGTGAGGTGAGCGCCCTCGGTCCGGGCGCGAACACCCTGAAGGTCGGGGACAGGGTCATCTGCTACCAGTTGTCCGGAGGACTTTACCAGGAGTCGGTGTTGGTGCCGCAGGAGGCGTGTTTTCTGCTGCCACCTCAGGTTCCATTTGAAGTCGGAGCTGCCCTTTTTGTCAATTACCTGACGGCGTACTTCAGCGTCCTCGACATTGGAAATCTGCAAGCTGGACAAACTGTTTTGATCCACTCGTGCGCTGGTATATTTTTCATATATTTTTCTTTTGCTAATTTTTATTGGATAAATTTGTGTTTTTTATTTTTATTTTCATTTTCAAGTTTAACTGAATTTTAAATAATAATATTGAAACATTGCAGCGACCTACTGATCATTTAAACCATATAAATGAAGTGAATCAACCAACAATAACATTATTTATATTTTACTAATCCTTAATTATTTAAAATTCTTAAATTTTTATCATTTGACACGGAAAATTAAAAAATAAAACCTAACAATAAATAATAATTATATAAATATAGTTTTAAAAAATAAAATAAAATAAAACACAATATCAATAACTTATTAAATACAGTTTAAAAATGTTAAAATCAAAAATAAAATTATCACAATTGAATTTATTAATATTTTTTTTTCAGGTGGAGTTGGATGGGCAGCTACTCAATTAGCGCACACTGTCCCCGAAGTCAAAGTTTACGGCACCACTTCACGGGAAGAAAAGCACGCGGCCGTCAAAGAAAACGGGGTGAATAAAGTCCTCGACTCGCAGAACTATGAAGAGCAGTTGAAGCAAGTGGAGCCCAAAGGGGTCCATTTGATTGTGGATAGCATCGGAGGAGCAAACTTTCTCAAGTCGCAGCGGCTTCTCAAACCTCTGGGAAGGGCCGTTCTAACAGGTTCATTAAATTAAATCTTACCCTAAGAAATATTTACAAAAACAACAAAAATACTAAAGGTGCGAGCAGTATGTTGAATAACGACCGAAAATTGAGTTTCTGGGACATGCTGTGCGTGTGGTGGCGCACCAAGAGCATCTCTCCGACGGAAATGATCAACGAGAGCAAAGTGGTGGCCGGACTTCACCTGGCGAATTTGCTCAGGGATGATCCTGTCAGGGTTCGACAAGCTCTCCAGACGCTTTTTTCCATGTACGAGCAAAAACTGATCAGCCCCAAAATCGATTCTGTCTGGCCATTTGAAAAGGTTTGATTTAAAAAAAAAATAATAATAATAATTACTGAATTTTGAAAAAAATCTAGGTTGTGGAGGCAAACAAATTGTTGCAGGAGCGGAAAAACATAGGAAAGGTCATCCTCAAACCTTTAATTAAGTAATTATATTATTATCTCAATGTACAGTGAAATAAAATTTTGTTTTAATATTAATTATATTTTGTGGTAATTTTTATTAAAGCGCAGAAGTACAAATTATACAGTTCAGAATTATTAAAAAATGGCATGCATCACACTTTGGTGTACAAAACTGACAGCATATCGAGCAATCTTACACAATAGGTGGTATATAATTAATATTAAATTGATTTTCAATTGACTTTAGAAGTTCACTTTACACAACAAAAGTTTTTTTTTGTAATAGTAGTTCATACTTTGTGCAAATTCCTTTCAATCACAGATTACACAATTAGAGACTTCTCAGAGTTTCAATAATATCTTTATAATGTGTGCTCTAATTTAAAATTGTGGGACTCTAATAATTAAATCAATCGGTCAGTTTTGATTATATAATTTTATATATAAATCGTCATATATATATTTAAATCAATCAAAGAAAGGTAATCAATTCACCACCAGCAAGGCCTTAAAATCTAGAACTTAAATAGAAAAGATTGACTTATCCTACACCAGAGCAGGTTGTCTGGCCGACACTACAAAATGATATTGAACAGGTAATCAGTTGATTTGGTTTGCATTGAGATATATATTGTATTTTTTTATTCAGTTTAATAGAGAGAGAAATATGAGAGTTTCACTCACATCTTGGTGGTACTGGAGGGGGAACGAGGTTCATGTAGCTGGGCATCTTGTCCTGAGGAGCAGACCAGTTCATGTAGTCGGGCGCATTCTCAGAGTCGGCTGTGTGAGGTGTCACAGGCGGTGTGTCTGGATGTCCGGCAGCTGCAAAAGTTATATTATATTATTAAAGAAAATAATTTATTTAAATACTTCCAATTGAGCAAACATTTAAAATAATTAAAATTTAATCTAAAATTTCGGAAAACAAAATATTTTTAATCAATGAATTAACTTACGATTGAGTAGGCACTCAGGTATGATGTAGGCGTTTGGATCCTCTTCTTTGATGGACAAGTTGCAAGGCCGATTGGGCGCTGGTAAGGGCGGAAGCTCCTAGAATTTATAAATTTAAAATATTTAATTTGAAACAGTTTAATTTTCCATTTATTACCTCTAGGTGAATTTTGGCGACTTTCGGCTTGTTCTTCGCCTCCATGACTGGACGAGGTAGCGGAGGAACTGAGTAATTCTGGACAGCGGTGTATTCGTGGTTAAGCGAATCGTCCTCTTCCTCCTCCACAATTTGAGGAGGTTCCTTCAAATTAGTCAAAATGGCCTGAAACAAATCAGTCAGAAATAGAAAATAAAATTTTAAATTAAAAAACGCACTTTTCTGTCCTCGTGGTCTGAATGGGTGCCACTGTCCCCTAGACTAGTGCCACTGCAATTGCTTCCGGTGCTCATTCTTTCTGACGACGAAGAGCCTAAAAGGGGAAATTTACTTGTAAATAATTTAAAATTATCTAAAACTTACTGCAGTTGCTGTTAATACTGAGACTGCTAGTAGGCCTGAAGGGTAAACCGTGCTGAATGTTCGGCTCCAGGGAGGAGTTCAGTCCATGGTTGTTGTTCCTTTCCTGATTTGCTTTGGACACACTTTTTTCTAAAAGAATAATTTTTTTAATTTTAGAATTAAATTATTTTTTCTGGTTTTACCTTTTCCTCGAAAGAAAAACTTCTTTAGTTTGTCAAAAGGGGTTGTTCTTTTCATGTCCTCCTTCATTTTATTTTGGATTCTGTCATAGTCTGCCCGCAGCTGCTTGAAATACTCTTGCTTCTCGATCAGGGACTGCTGAACGTCGTTCCTGTTTTTCCAGCTCTCGACCAACTTTTCCACTTCGGCCAGTGTGTAAACATTGTTCTTGAAATCGTTAAAGATCTCCACTAGCTCGTCGTCAGTTGAAAACGCCAGTTGCTCTCGCGATTTGCTCTGCTTGCTCGCTGAAGCAGCCCCTATTTAAATTAAAATTTAATAATTTAAAAATATTAAAATTAATAATTTTATTTTACCAATACTTTCTTCACTGGTGTGGTGCTTGTTCTTTTCGACGGTGATCGAGTCATCGGAGTGAACAAACGTCTCCTTTCTGCTCAAAGATCTGGGGTGATGATTGGGCGAATGGTTCTCCTTCTTTGAATTTTCTAAAAATATATAAAAAAATTTATATGAATAAATATAATTTTATTTTCCATTCAAGTTCTTACTTTTCAAAGAGTTCATTCGCAGATATTCTAAAGGATGGTCGGCATCCGACGACCCATTCGATGACGTCGAAGCTTTTCTGAATGGTCTGGCCGCAGGCGGCACCTGATAAGTTTCATTGAGTGGCCTAGGCAGGTTGTACGTGTCTTCAACTGTGTCTATAAAAATAAATTCGAGTCAAAATAATTATTCCAAAATATAAATTTTTTTTTTACATTTTCCTTTGTTCTCAGCAGTCATCTTCATGTAGCTGTAGATATTTGTGAACTCGTTCATTTGCTGAAAAGGAAATTAATTTTAAGTGAATATCAAAATTAAAGATCATGAAACTTACTGTATATCCTCTGATGGTGTTTGCCACTTTTGCATGTCCAGCCAGCTCGGCTATTTCTGTGGGTGTTTGGTCGTGGCAGTTCCTCATCTCGCTTGCAACGTCTCCACCTGGGCACTCCATCAGTTGCCAGACTAATTTTTCCAGGCCAAACTTTGCCGCAAAGTGAAGCAGAGTCGGATATTCTTCAGAGCCTTTAAAATTGAAAAAAAAATCGTAAAAAAACAAGAAGGAAATGTTTCAACTTATTTCAGGCAATAGAGTTTTAAAAAGTTTAAAAAAATGTAATATATTGTTTAAAAAAAATTACTCACAAATGACTGATTTCCTTGTGTTGCTGTCTTGTGATTGCAGCAGATTGAAATTAGGAGGAACATTCTTTTGGAATGCGCTGACCATATAGTTGTCCAGCTGATCTCTTTCACCCATTTGCACTCCGAGAGTCTGTGATGAGAATTAAAGAATTATAAAACAAAAAAATAAAAAAAATCTAAAACGTCAAACCTGGCATATGAAGTCAAGAGGGTTGCCTATGTTCCTCAAAAGCTGGTCGAGTTCGCGCATTCGACTTTCGCACTTTATCTGTCGGCATCCCATTGAAACACCGTTTTTCTCCACTTGGACCCCAACTAGCATTGACACCACTAAGCACGACTCTGCAGGAAATTAAAAATAATGAAATTGAAAAAAAAATTGTTGCTTGTTTAAGTGTTGATTTTTTATAAATTGTGGAGATTCAGTAAATGGCAGGCTCTTTTTAATATTGCATAGAATGATGTGTATAATTATCATTCATACCTTAATTAATATAATAATTATGGTCCAATACAATTACTATAACGCAATATAAAATATCAAATCACACGAACAACTTTCAAAGCAAATTAGCAAAATGCAATGTGGAATTGTATTGAAAAAAAAATTTGGACTAAACGTAATATTTATTGTTATAAACAAAAAAAATTTGTTAATAAAGTTCATAGAGAGATTTTAAAAAACCCCATGTAAAAATAAAAACTATAAAATTAGAAGTATTAACATATTTAAAATTAAAATTAGTTTTAGCAAATAATAATGTAATAAAGAAATATTGAAATTAAATGAAAATAAACTATAATTTAAATTTATGCACTATTATTTACCTGGTACTGTAAACATGATGGTGTAAGGGTTCCTCTTTTTGGCGGTCAAAACCTCGACCGTTTCGCCGCACTTGCTGATGGTGATTTTGAGGTTGTCCTCCGGACCGACAGGCTCGTTGAGCATGACGAGAACTTTGTTGTGCGCCTGTTACAAGACAAGTGATGTCAAAACACTCACATATTTACACATGCAAATAGAGTGGAATCAAGCAATGCGTTGATTGCACAATGCGCTCGAACGCGGTCAAGAGTTAAAATTAGTCCTATGGAGGATGATATGCTATTAGCCTACTCACGTTGTTGACTTTCTTGGGCTGGAGGGAAAATGCGGCTTTATTTTGGTTCATGGACTGTTCCTCCTGAGCCACTCGCGTGAGGATCGCCATCGAGTCGTTGAGAAACTCGCTTACAAACGCTGCATCCTTATTTCTGACGGCAACACGTTGCCACTGATTGAAATTTGCTATTGCTGAAAATTTCAGAAATGAATTATTTTATTGAAAAATAATCAGTTTTTAAAATTTCCATTTAAAAAAAATATATTTTCATGAAATTAACTTAAATCATTTTGAACCTAATGAAAAAATTCTTGCAATTAAAAAAAAAATTTAATAATTTATTTATTTAAAAAATGAAAACACACCTGCACGGTGTTGCTCAGTGACTTGTTCCTCCTCGACGCCCAAAAGCATCGCCAGAACCCTGTTGGGGCTGAGCAGTTTGGTCAGGTCCAGGCTGGGTTTCGGATGCTCCATGACTTGTTGCAAAAACATGGGGCACATGATCACCAGCTTCAGTTTGACCTGGACAATGCGTTCCTCGAGAGCAAAAGGAACGGCGCCAACAATGTCGTCCAGACCAACACGCAAAATCCTGCCGAAATTTATTTATTTATTTAAAAAAGGTAATAAAAAAACTGACACTTGGGTGCTAATTAGTGAGTCATAAGTATACAGTTATCACTCTGAAATTGGACAGAGGAATTTTTCAGGATCTGTTTTGACGTCGATGAAATACGACAATGATGGGCTCAGGCGTCGACTATACAAACAAAGCCTCGCGAATTGCACTCTCTGAAAAAGGGCGGTACAGTTATGGTTTTGTACCTGAAGGGTGGCCTGTTTCGCTTTTGGCACATTTGCTCGAAGCATGACGAGAGGTAGTTGGCCCAAAGGTTGGCCACGTGACTTTGCTGGTTTGAGAGGATGAGGATGTCATCCCTGCTGCCGCTGGACCTCATCGGCGGCATTGGCACCAATGCTGAAACACACACAAAATACAATCTGTATAGTAAATTGTAGAAATTAAAAAAATACTTTCTTCAAATTATATTTTGCGTTTTGTGAATTATTTATCTATTATTATCTACGCTTTACTTCTACGTTCCAATTTAAACCTCTAAAAGTATTCTTTTGACTCTCTGTTTGATAATATTTTAAAGTAATTTTGTAAAAGTAATAAATTTATTAATTATTATTACGTTTCAAACTTTTTTTTTAAGCTCCTCTGCTCATAAAATTTAGGCATGTTTGCATTTTTCTTTTCATAAATAATAAGAGAAACTAAGCAACTATTGAATTTAATATTTAAATAAATTTAAATAAAGATATTTAAAATTTAGTTGGACACTCAACATAAGAAATTTTAAATAAAATTTTTTTATAAAAATAAATAGTGCACCCATTTTAACCAAGATAAAAGTTATCATGTCATGATGTGAGAGGAAACTAAACAATTTTGATTGCAAAAGTCACAAAACTATTATCAATCCTACTTGGAACCTATGATTCATTCATAATTACTTGGACCTGTGTGGATAAAAACCAGTGCTATTTAATCAATGAATTTTAACATTATTGAACCTGAATTTGGCACAGTAAATAAAAAGTTTTAAGTCAATTTTATTTGAATTCATTTTTTTAAATATAATTTTTGAAATTTTTTGCCATATCCGTCTTCAAGGATTAAAGTTTTACGACGTTTCCTGTCAAATGTAATGTCTCTATTTCTTTCTGAGTGAGTAAAACCAAAAGTCGTTAATCGGAATCACGCTGCGCCTGCCGACATCTGAAAGCTTTAAAGAAGCGCCGCGCATTTTTTTACTTCCGGGCCATTTCGTTCCGACACAAACGCAAAATCTGTTACATCCGCGAAACCATACGGAGAGGGATGAAAATTTTGTGACTTTAATGAGCGTTGAGAGCTTCCTCGTGTAAAATATAGGGAACGGCGGCGCCGCAGCTCAAATTTCACCACACGCTCGGCATTCCAGGAAAACGGCCGAGCGTGATCTCAGCCAAAATATATATAAAAAACCAAATCTGCTTTGGATTTGAGGCATGATCGCGGCCGTCATCAGCCCTAAATCTCTGCTTATTTTCTCGAAAAATAAAGGAGACTCGGTTCATAAACATGAGCGCGGGCTTTATATATAATATTGTGCACGTGTATATACTACTTTATTCCTAAGGCCAGGGCTTGCATACTAAACACAGAGACAAAATGCGATGTATTCCCTCTGATTTTTCTCTCCGAGCACGTGCCCTGCGATGGCGTCTGCTTTTTTCCAGCGCGGCACTTCCTGCCAGCAGCGCTCCCGAATATTTACAAACACACCGAGACACAGCCCAGGACCAATTAGTCCGAAAAAAGCGGCGACCCGCCTCGCGTTCACCGACTGGCCATTATCGCGCTTTTTGGCCTTCCGATGCGACCATATCCGGCCAAGAGACACCGCCGCCAAAAAAGGCAGCCTCTCTTATGTGTGTGTGTGCGCGAGCCCCACCGTGCATATTTAATTTTCTAATTGCATTCACACCCACGATCAGCCCCTGCGCTTTCCGGAAGGTTCAACGCACCGCTTGCTTATCTCTCGCCTTTTTCGGACCAGCACCGGACATTGTGCGAAAAATAAAAAAAATATCAAAAGTCTTGCGCATCGTCTCGTGAGAATAACGCACGCAATCATTCTAAATCCGACCAGATGTTTAGTCAGCAAACTGTTTCCTCGTTCTCGCGCTTTTTGTTCTGAGTCAGCCCACAAAAGCCGCATTTGATGCAAATTAGAACGTCACAGCCTCAAGGAAAACGGCGCGGCTCAATTTTCACTTTGCAAAACGCTAAGCGCATTTGTGGTTTTGGCTGTCGAGCAATTTTCTTTAAAGACCGCGGGATATTATTAAACGAATTTGTACAGAAATTATGTCACAGAATCAGGTGCGAAAAGTATTCAGGTCGATGAATTCAGATCACATTTACAACACTTTAATTAAAAAAATATTGCTCATTAGATTGAGAAGGTAAAAACTAGCTTCATTTGTTATTTATTTTAATTATTTTAAGGTTGCATTAATTATTTTTTTCTTTAAATTAGAAGGTTAAACCATTAATATTATATTTTAACATTTGATTGTATTAATATCATCAAAATAATTAGTAAAGATTAAAGATTTCTAATTTTGAGAAAATTTTGCTTTGAATTACATAGAGTTAAATTGTTTTAATTTTATAAATTTAAACACAAGATCATGGCTGTGTCCATTATTTATATAAAGTTAAATTTAGTTAAATTATTATTATTTAAATACTTTTTATGAAATTGAACTAAATCTTCTCTTTGAAAAGATTTATATGTTCAATTTTTATCAATGAAATATTTTATATAATTAAAGCTAAGTATTGCAACTTAAGATATTCATTCATTTTTTTTTTTTTAAATATTTGTCATCAAAATTATACCCAAGATTTCTGGCAATCCTAACAACCTACTTAGTAATAAGGACATTTGTGTTCAATAATTTTCTCTTTTATCAAAAGGCTGTTCTGGTTACAAATTTAAAAAATGAATTAAAAACGGTTGAATAATAAAAAATAAACAAATAATTCTCTCACCAAGCTCAAACTTTGAACAATGTAAATAAAAATTATGCAAATTTTTATAAATTATTATTAAATTTATGACACTTTCCTTTCTGAATCATCAAACAGGAAGTTTTATATAAAAACTCGAGAGGAGACTCATTATGATTGAGCGTCCCCACGATAATTAGGTAAGATTTTTACTTTCATGCTGTCTGTCTTCCTGTCGGCTTCCGTGGTCGAAAAACAGACGCGCGTTAATTTCTAGGAGAGGCGTTCAGGTCTGACGGCATAAAACATTATGTCGGTCTGTGAATTAGTGAATGAGCCCTATTTGAACCTCGGCTGAATTTTTTATGGGGTTCAATAAAGGAGCGCTCTCGCCGGAACCTTGACCATGTGCATCAGATATGATAAAGAGAGAGAGAGAGAAGAGCGTCTTTGAAACTTTATCTGTTCGCCGCCACTGGGCCTGCTTCGGGATTCATTCTTTCGCCGCTCCATACGCGACTAGCTTGGAAAGCTAAAAAAAAATCATCAAAGTTGGGGACAATGCCAGGAAAAAATCGGAAACGAGAGGAAAATACTAAATGATTCACAGAAACGCGCGGGTTATTCAATTTATGGCCGAAACCGAAACAAAAGAAAAGAAATCCCGTGAGAAAAATCAGCGTGAATCAAAATGCATCACACAAGAGTGAACATAGACGAAACTATAAACTTTAATCGAACGGTCATGGGAATCAATATAAAAATTGAACTGCGGGGGTCAAATCAATATAATCATTGTCGCCCGATAGAAAAATATACAAATTTTAAGCATATGGGCTTGTGAATAACTGACCTATTTTGAATTTTAATGTCAAAGGGTCGGCGGGGGTCAATTGAGACTGGTGGTCGTTCACTCAGCGTGAGTTAATCAGGAGGAGGAAAAAGCGAATTTGCTGAAAAAGCGTTTCGGCGTCACCGTGTCGAGTCGCGAAAAAAATTCCAACACGCGGCCAAGCAAGCGACCTGCAACGTGAGGCATCTAGCAAATCGCCAACAAGAACAAACAATGGAGTGGCACCGCTGAGTTATTTTTTTTTTATTCACGACAGGCCAAATTGAATGCGAGACCGCGTGTAATGAGAGACATTCCATCGCCGGGCAAGGCGCCGATGCTCGATTAGCATAAAGCGAATTAGCTTTTCTGAGTCATGACGCATTTCAATCAAATGTGGGTGGGTGGAATTGTGTCTCATTGTTTTATGCAGCCTCTTCGCAACACATAAATAATGTTAAAAATTCCAAAAATCCAAAAAATTAAAAAAAAAATCATTCGGAAAGTCAAAAGTTTAGAATTTTAAAGAGTAGTTTAAGAACAGAATTTTTAATTATTGTTGATTATTGATTATTTGTTTTGATTGTTACACCAAAATTAAATTGTGAAATAATTGTTGTGAGAGAAATTTCAATTTTTTTGTACAAAGAGATTTCGCTAAAACTTCGGAGATAAAAAAATACCCCATTCTGTAGAAAGCCTCAATCAAATTATTATTTTTTTCTTCTAAAAATCAAAAAATTTTAACCTAATCATTTAAATAGTCATAAATACAAACTTAATTGGTTAATAAATAAAAATTGATTTATTTGAGCATATAATTATATTTCTATATAAAAGTGTAGAAAGTTTTTAAACAAAATTTAAATTTATTCTGAATCAAGCAAAAATTAGATCATAAAAAATGTCTACACTGTGGCAGAATCTAATCAACTGCAATATATTCCGTCTCATCAAATTATCTAACCTTGCTGGCCATTTTTCACCGTATAAATATTTGCAAACAGCAAAACATGAAATAATATTATCAAAAATAATTAAAAATTGCGAGTTCTTAAGATTATTTAAGAATTCAAAGGTAATCTAATTTTTAAGTGAAATGCAAACCTCAAAACTCGGCACAAATTACAGCATCAGACGTCAACACTGTCCTGCAAAATCTAATCAACTACACACAATTCCGTCAGTTTGAAGTATCGAATATGAGATTTGCTCGTCCAATTCACTATTAATTATCTTATCTGCTGGTGCGCAAAAGTAATTAAAAATCTGGCCGCGCCAAGTGTGTCCAAAGGTCCAAAAAAAAAATTTGCTCACCTAAGCTGGTAGCCGAACGACCGAGAGGCAGAACTTTACTGCGAGAGCGCCAGTTGCGTGTTCACTTGTGGTGCTCGGAGCCGCCGACTGCCAACGAGCTTCCGAGTCTTTCTTTCTCTGACCGACCGCGGCCCTCTCGCGACTGCGGCCGTGTCTGCTGCGGATCGGATGTGATGCTTATTGACGATTCAAAATTCAATGTCCGACTCGGGCGTGTTTTTGCAAGCCCAAAACGTGCACCGCCATTTAATTAAATTCGGAA